CACACACACACACACACACACACAGACACAGGCACACACACAGGCACACACACACACACACACACACGCGCACACACGCGCACACACACGCGCACACACACACACACACACACAAAAGAGAGAAAGAGGAAAGCACATTTTATTTCATTTATTTATTTATTTATTGCCATAACCTGGACTGTAGTGACTATTATTTAAACTTTGTATTTAAGACCATGGTCCTTTTGCTCTTTTGCTGTGAATACTGCCATTAATACAAAGAAAACTGTTCTACAAAGTCCTGACACAAATCACAAATGAGTGACATGTTGGACAGTAAAATATCTATAGAAAGGCTATTTTTATATATATTTATTTATCACTCCATCAAAGAGCTGTGTGAACTACGAGCACGTGGATATACTTACAAGAATATCAAAGACTTGGTTGACATCTTTTCCTCTGATCTCGATGCCATTTATCTCCAGTATTTCATCTCCTTCTGATAAGAGTCCACTCCGTTCAGCTGCTCCCCCTCGAACGATACGACTGATCACGACACTGTCCATTTCATTACGAACGGTCGCCCCCTACAGAACACACACAGGAAGGCAGTGGAATGATGGGCAAACATGGACACTGGCCCCCAGGGAAGAAAACACTAGTGCTTTGCTGAAGATAATAGAGATTCCAATAAGTGAAATAAAAGGATTTGCAGCCACATCAATTGTTGTTCTCTTATCCTAAAGGAAAGCTTAAAATGCTTCACAGAGAAAAGAAACCTCAATTCCCCTACTGCTGATATTTCCAATATCCCTTTTATTTATTTTTTCTTTTTTCTATCCTGCCTTAGCCACTGCAGTGCTAAAGTTTCTAAACCTTCCAATAGTTGTTGATTGGGGCAGTAAAGGACTGTAAAGGACATCTGTGTGAAATGTGAATTTCATTTAGTGTGTTTCTGTCATGTTTTCTCAGAATCAGAATCAGAAATACTTTATCGATCGTCGGGGCCATGCACTCGTCATACTGTATGAGATGATGTGTTTCAAGTGATGGAACAAAATGCTTGAGTTTCCTTTGTAGCTGCAACTATTTTCCAACAGCATTTATTTATTTCAGCTGAGCTTCTTTTTATCCTGTATCATGTCAACTGTCTATACCCACTTTTCCAGTACAGGGTCACAGAGGGGCAGGAGCTGATTCAGGCTCCCATCAGTCAAGAGGCAGATGGACACCTGGACATCACAGACTGCCTTATATAGACATACTACCTTTCACACATTAACCCCAATTAACCTAACCTGACTGTGGGAGGAAACTGAAGCACCTGGGGGCAACAGCATGTCAGCTCTATATGTAGTGGCCTTCTCCTTGATTTTGAGTGAGTGAGTGTTGGTCTTACCAGAGGTATGTCTTGGGCCTTCTCTATGCGAACTATCTTGACAGTCTCCCCTCCCCACTGGGTCAGTGTTTCTCCTTGGTCAGGCAGAGGCTCAGGCTGCATTTCCCTCTCTGCTATGCTGTCATGGGCCAGGAGCAATGACTGCAAAACACACACACATGCACAACACGGATACAGGACAGGAGCAGTGACAGTCACTACGGGATTCTTTTGTTGATTTGCTAATACAGCTGTGTGTGTGTGTGTGTGTGTGTGTGTGTGTTTACCTGGATGTGTGTATCTGTCAGCAGGCTGTGTAGTTCGAGTCCCTCTTTGTTCTGACTTGGCTGGATGAGATTCCTGACCTGAAACCATGACAACATAAAACCTCATTGGTGTCATCATGAGCAGTTTTACCATAGCCATGATATATTTGGGTGTAAGAAAATATTGATACACTTAAGTATCGCAATATTTTGTATACGACACTCTTTATTCTTATACCCTTGATTCAGAGGGAAAGGAAGGAAACATTCCCCTTTAACAGGAAAAAATGGAAGGAAACTCGTTCTCTATTCATTACAATCAAAGCAGTAATCTGGTCTGGGTCCTTGGTTGCTATCGATATCGGAATCGATATCAATATCAATATGAGGGGTGCTAACTTTGTTGAAGAGCTAGCACAGCAATCTGGGCCACTTCACAAAAAACAAAAAACAAAAACAAGAAGAGAAATAAGGATGAAGATTTTGACACCATGATGATGACAACATGATGGAATAACAATGTATTTGAAAGGCATAGAAAAAAGTGTCAGGAACAATCTACGCTCTAAATGACAACTGTGAAATTTCAAAATGGGAAAGTATTTAAAGTTGTTTCAGTCTGCCAATGAGCTAGAGTTGAACTGTGTGAAGGTATTTTCAGTACTTTGCGAGTATTTGTACCATTTCTTCACTCCACTGTATCAACAAAGACAAAAGAACATGTTTCTGGGAATACAGTACAGAGCAGCCAAATGCAGGGCAGGGGGCAGAGAGGCCAACATGGAGCAGAAATAATGTGCTGCTCTTTAATGAGATTCCACTGAAATGAGCCATGAATAGCTCTTACAGCTAGCCAACTCAACACTGGGGCAGAAACATAATTGCAGCATTGATCGTACTAACTAACTAAAGAACAATCTAACTTAGAGTTAGATTCTCTTCTTTGCTTTACAAATTAGTAAAGTAAAATCATTCTTTTTGATGAATTAAATTCAGTCTGAGCTACAACTGACCTTGGTATCATGCGTTAAACAGGCAGTTGTTTAAAAATATGATCACAGAATAAAAGAGTTGGCAGGAAAGCCTGTATGTGTGTATATGCAAAAGTGTGTGTATGTAGATGCAGTGTAAGCACTGGTGTTTCAGCTCTAATTGATGCTGAACAGAGCTGCTCTGTCTCTAAGCCCGTTATTAGACACCCACTGACCTGGACTGTCACTGTGTGTGTGACTGTGTTAGCCTTCTGTCAGATGAACGTCAACATTTATTTTAAATAAAGCTCATTTGGATAAGCGTATATATTACCTCCATGGCCAGCGGAAGTGCCTGCTGTGTGTGTGGGTAGGGAGGAGAGGGTCGGTGCATGCTGGAGGCCACCGCATTATGGATCTTCAGTGCTGACTGGAAGTCAGACTACAGGGGAACAAAGAGACACCAATGTTCTGTCACATTCCACTCAAAGCACTTTCTCCTTTCACTATAGTATTTACTGTATTTACATTTACAAGTGAAATCAAAGTGCAATAAAATATAATACTAAACTATTACTGACTGTTTCAGTTCATACAGTATTTGTGAAAGCTTTTCCATTGATCACTCACACTGTGATTCAGTACAGCCCAACTCATAATGAAGTTGTTGTTGCGTTTCTGTTGTCAGACAACTGAACAAGCACCATAATCAGTGAACTGATCTGAGCTTGTAAATGCTACCTGTTGACCAACGGTAATTCCTGCACTGCTGCACTGAGGCGTTGCCACTTTGTCTAACAAAACAAACCTGAATATAGGTTCATGACAGCAGCTGCACTGTGTGATCAGCTAAAATGTAGAGCCCAATTATCACAATAGTTGCCAATAGATTTTTGGTAATCAAATAGTCAATCAGATGACTAATTGTGGCAGCTCTACTAAAATTCCATTTAAAATGAAAGAAAAAAAAACCAAACACGGTTAAAGGTGACACAATGATGGCTTCTTAACTGTAATGCTACACAGTAACCTGGAGAGCAAAACTGTTCTTGGGTAAGACCAGCTTGTGTTTGGACAGAAAGCCAAAACTTGAATATCAGCTTTGTGTTTATTGGTGTCATATTTGTATAGTTAATAATCCCTTCTGGAAGCCTAAAAGACAACTGTACCAGACAACACTGCTACAATAATACTGTTCTTGCTGTGTTTGCTAAAAACTTGTGTTTCTCCTATAACCAATCAGACGCTGGAGCTTAAGCAAACCAATATTCAGTACTTTAAATTCCACTACAGGACAGGAACCAGAACCGAAACTAGGGTCCTTTACTCGAAATACACAGAATGTTTCTGAAAGGGCCATTCAAGGCTTTTTGACCCTGAAAAGGGGCACAATGTTCCAGGAAAAACACAGAATTATTTGTTGGCTTCGGGCACAAGAATATCCAACTTAAGAATATTTAATAACGGTATAAAAGCTGGCCCATCAGTAGCTTTAGCTCCAAAAAGATTTGTCTAGTGTATCTATAGCCTCCAGCCCCGTCTCCCATACTGAAGCCTTCATTCCAACTGTCGGAACCTTGTGAGGCCCCTGCTGTTACGGATGCTCCGACCCTAGACAGTGGTGACGACGCTGCCTCGTCTTTGTGAATCCCTTTTACCTCGAAGGTCAGAGAGTCTGGAAAAATTTCACAATCACATGCTGAGCCCTGTCCGTCTAATTCCCTCTATATTACCTTGTTTAGTAGTGCAAGAACCAGCTCTATGTCATTCTGACTCTGCTGGTCGGTAAGGCAGCCCCGGACCTGCTTCAGTGACAGCAGCAACTCCTCCAACTCTGCAAGAAAAACACATGCGTTCACATGAATAACCACTGACTTTTACATATCAGCCTCCATAAAAGCAAAAGCTAAAGAGGTCTAAAAGGAGCGCTGTACTTCAGTATCATATGATGGCAGAAGACAGCCTGTTTGTCCCAGCTTCAGATTAACATGCGTGAGAGACTGCATCTCATTTGCTAGTCAAGCCTCTTGTTCTACATCGTGTGTTCCTGTTTGTGTAATGGTGTGTGTGTCAACATTACCACCCCTACGAAGTTTTAATTAAGTCGCCCTCAAGAGCCTCTCATGTCCTTTCTCCCTCCCTGAGGAATTCCCTCCCTGATGTCTTTCTTACATTCCTTTCTCTCCCAGACAGCTCCCCCCCCCCC